GGCCCGGGTCCCGGCTCCGGCGGCAGCTGGCGGGGCAGGCGCGGGACCCGCAAGTCACACCCAAGTCACGCCCGGCGCAGCGATCCCGGGCCCCTCCGACGACAAGCGTCTTCTCTCCGCGTCCTCGGGCCCCAGACCCCGGCCTGGCTGCGCGCTCCCGGGTCTGGCGTGTTGAGGCAGGCGCTCTGGACGCCCAAGCGAGGGACAGGCCGCGCACTGTCTGGCCAAGTCGTGAAAGTCACCTACGGACCGAGAAGCCGTCCCAAGAGAAGGGGTCTCTCATGGGTTGAGCGTGGTGATGGGCAGAAGGCTGGAACAAATGTTTATTTTTTTTATATCTGTTTTTATTTTTTAAGTTGTCTATCTCACCAATGAAAAGACATTTTTAATTCAATAAATTATGATTTTACCTGGGCACGGTGGCTCACGCCTGTAATTCCAGCATTTTGGGCAGGGGAAGTGAGAGGATTGCCTGAGCCCGCGGGTTCGAGACCAACCCGGGCAAAATGGCGAAACCTCGTCTCTACAATAAATCAAAAAAGTAGCCGGGCATGATGGTGCACGCCTATAGTTCCAGCTACTTGGAAGACTGAGGTGGAACGATCGCCAGAGCCCAGCAGGTCGAGGCTGCTGTGGCCATGAGCGTGCTGCTGCACTCCAGCCTGGGTGACAGACTGAGACTTCGACTCAAAAAAAATAAACAAAACAAACAAACAAATACATATTTTTTAAAAAAGTAAAAACGGCCAGGCTCGATGGCTCAGCCTGTAATCCCGCGCCTTTGGGAGGCTGAGGTGAGTGGATTGCCTGAACCTGCGGGTTCGAGACCCGCCTGGGCAGCGAGACCTCATATCTACAATAAATCAAAAATCAGCCGGGCGTGGTAGCGCATGCCTGTAATTCCGGCTACTCGGAAGGCTGAGGTGGAAGGATCGCTGGAGCCCAGCGGGTCGAGGCTGCGGTGGCCGGGAGCAGCCACTGCACTCCAGTCTGGGTGACAGAGTGAGACTCCAACTCAAAAGAAACAAAAAAAAAGTAAAAACGGCTGGGTACAGTGGCTCATGCCTACATGCCCAGCAATTTGGAAGACCTAGAAGGGAGGAGGATCGCTTGAGCCCAGGAGTTTGAGACCAGGACATAAAAAAATTTGCCAGGTGTGGTGGCGCAACTGTAGTCCCAGCAACTCCGGAGGCTGAAGCAGGCAGATGGCTTTAGCTGAGGAGTTTGAGGCTGCAGTGATTATGCCACTGCACTCCAGCCTGGGTGAGAGTGAGACTCTGTCTCAAATAAATACAAGAAAAAAATAAAGTAAATAAATAAATACATTTTAAAAATGGACTGCTTGGCCTAGCGTGGTGGTCCACGCCTGTAATACCAGCACTTTGGAAGGTGGAGGTAAAAGAGTTGCTTGAGCTCAGGGGTTCGAGACCAGTCTGAGCAACATGGTGAGCCCTCATCGCTACAATACATCAAAAAACATTAGCTGGGTGTGATGGTGCCAGCCTGTAGTTCCAGCTACTTGGAAGGCTGAGGTGGAAGGATCACCTGAGCTCAGCCTGTTGAGGCTGTGGTGGCCGTGAGGGTGACACTGCACTCCGGTCGAATGAGACTCTAACTCTAAAAAAACAACCAAAAAAAGGACTGCTTAATGGTTATGGCGCTTTCTTTTGAGGTGATAAATATGTTTGAAACTACTTAGAAGTTGTGGTTGACAACATTGTAAATGTATCAAATATTAGTAAAATACTACGTTTTATGTTTTGATTTTTTTTTTTTTGAGAAAGCAGGATTTATTGAGAGGGCAGAAAAGCTCCCACTGTGGGAGGGGACCTGAAGGGGTTGCCCCTATGTACTTTTTTTAAAAGTCGAATTTATTGTAGAGATGAGGTCTTGCCAAGTTGCCCAGGTTGGTCTCAAATCCCTGGGCTCAGGCAATCCTCTCACTTTGGCCTCCCAAAGTGATGTTTTATGTATTACACGTGACATACAATCTTATTGTATATATCACATTATGTTACATGTTACATTCTTTTGCGCATTAGCGCATATCTTACATACATACACACACACACACAGCACCATCACGTAATATTGTATATATACAAAATGGCATATACGCAATTTCCTAAAACTGCATAATGTAATTAATATATAACATGTACTATATATAATTGTATGTTTTGCATGTAAGAGATTATATGTAACAGAAGATGGTATAAGACACTCTAAAATGGTTGATTCTTTTTTTGGGGGGGGTCGGGGTCTCACTCTGTCGCCCAGACTGGTGTGCCGTGGCACGCTCCCGGCCACCGCAGCCTCGACCTGCAGGGCTCCGGCGATCCTTCCGCCTCAGCCTTCCAAGTAGCTGGAACTACAGGCGTGCGCTACTATGCCCGGTTAATCTTTTGATTTTTAAAAAAAATTGTAGAGATGAGGTCCCGCAGAGCTGCCCAGGAGAGTCTCGCACCCGTGGGCTCAGGCAATCCTCTGGCCTCCGCTTCCCAAAGCGCTGGGATGTCAGGCTTGAGCCTCCGCGCCCGGCCTTAAAACGGTTAATTCTATGTGACTCGTACCTCGACACAAATACCGGGGGAGAAAAAACAGTTGCAGCAAAAGTGCTTCTCCAGCCCCGACCTGGAGTGGGGTCGGGCAAAGGGGCCGGGCGCGGGAGCGGGGGCTCCCGCCTGGAACCCTGACTCTTCGGGAGGCGGAGGCGGGAGGACTGCCT